CTACTGTTATACCGGAGGACCTCAGTTACATTACTCCTTGAAAACCTGGTAAAAGAAATATCCCTCTAGTCCCTGCACTAGCAATAATGGAACAACTTTGCTTCTCTCTTGAGTGACATCTATGGCACATTTACAGCCAGTGTGAGGAATTTCACAGTATAATGTCAGCCAATAAAATCATAGTATGACCTTAGTTTCCTACCTTTTGTTTCCCTGTGCCTCAATTTCCTCACTTCATCAAGTTGATTTTATCTTTTCATTATATGTACATTTGTAAACAACCTTATCCTTTCTTTGGATACATTAGTAAAAATAAATTTCACACACACATATTCAGTAGGCCATTCTACTACTACTAGCTGTTTGATTTGGGACAAATTCCTTAATCTTTTTCAGCCTCAGAGTCCTGAGATCTGCAAAATGAGAATAACCTCTCCTTCAAAGAGTTAGTGTAAGGATTGAACGAATTAACAAATCTAAAGCTTTTAGTACATTAGTGTTCAATTAGACTGGATTATTAGTTACATGTGGAGAATAAGCTTGAGAAAAAAGAAATACTGAAGATATTTAAGTTGAGGAAAATGATGGAGCCAGAATTCAGTACAAGGTTTGTTCGTCTCCGAAACTCTGTTCTTACTCATGATGTGGTTAATCTTCAGACTGGCAGAGGACCTCATTCTGAAGTCAACAGAATCACTTGTGGCACTTTCTAATACAGAACCTTAGGCCACTCTCTATGCCAAAATAATCTGAATTCTTGAGTGTGAGATGAGCACATGCATATTTTTTAAAAATTTCCCATAGGCTAAGAACTACCACATTTCCTGCAAAAAAGAAATCTTTTGCTCCTCAATATGACTAAGAAGAGTCCCTTTGGTCCTGCTAACAGTTTCGGGTTTCAAGTCCCCAGATATAAATTTTTTTTATACCAGGTACCTCATACAGAAGTTAAAGGTAAATAGAGCTGTATATAGATATCCAGAGAACGTGCTTTTTCTAGGAATATTAAGCACCACGACAGGGAACTAACTCAGGAGCAATAAGCAGCAGATTGCAGTAGATGGGAGAAATAAGCTTGATTAATCCACCCCTGTTAAAGCCTATTTTACCAACAGAGAGTCAGAGAAGACAAAACAAAACCTATGGAATATTGTGAAATAAAATTCATATATGTTGGAAACAAAAGTTAAAATCTATTAGAAAGGACAAGAAAAAGAATGGGGATGATTACTTCTGGAACCTAGCTTGCCATATTCCAAGAAAAAGCAATTGCCAGCAGAACTGTCCAGTTTGTCATTTCTGAAAGATTGTTTACCTATTGATCTTACCTGAGATCTTAGGATTTGTTAAATCCAAAGCTCCACGGTGTATTGCAAATATGACAATCCAAGGGAAACTAAGTAAGGTCACGTCTGTTGCTTGGAAGTCTATAGGCTTCGTAGGACCCTATAACTATATTGGCACTAGTCTACCTAAAATCTAGCTGATTTATCCAGAAAAAGGTATTGGTCCATGAGAAACTTACTGGGTAAAAGAGTTGAAAAATTTGTTTGAGTCCAGTTATGAGAAGTTTCAAAAACATAATTTTTAGGAGACTGGGTAGGAGGCACAATTGATCCTGTTGGAAAAACAAACAAACAAACAAAAACAAAAAGGAGCAGGGAGTATGTTCTGTCTTAGGAAAGGAGGTTAGACTCTACATTAATGAATAGTAGTAATACATTTGGTGGGAAAAATGGATAAAACAAAAGGATAAGATAAAGTCTGAAAAGTCTGAAGCTTAGAGATTGCAATCCTTTCTGTTTTGGAGGTAAAGAACAAAAGAAAGAGAGACAGAGACAGGCAGAGACAGAGGGGGGAAGTAGAGGAGGGGGGGAGGGAGGGAGGGAGGGAGAACTTAAAAAAAAAATAGCCTGAGTTGCACTCGTCTGTCAAGTACTCTCTTTCTTCAGGCAAGAGGATGAGCATGGCAGATGAAGAGAAATAACTACCAGGGATGTTTGGTTTAGTTTGCTTCAAATGCCTATTTGAGAAAATTATCTGAGTAATTTTGCCTTATCTCTGGTGATATGACATGGGTGCTGACGGAGCTTGTAAGAATGCAGAGAAACCAAATAAAAACAGATATTTAGAGACAGAGGCAAGAATAAAGCCAGAAACCTGGCTATAGATCCTACACTGTGGCCCTGTAATAGGATCTTTTCATGGAACATGCAACATTACTGCTTTCTCAGCCAGCCAGACATGAAAGTTTTGGGGAGGGACAGACCCTCCCCTAATTTCTTCCCTTCTACCTTTACCCTTTCTTGTAACATGATATTGTCATGGACAGGCAAAACATATTGAAAACTGTGGCTTTAAAACATTCAACTTCTGATATAAGGACTTATACTGTGAATTGAAAGGAAAAATGAGACACCTACCTTGGTAAAGCAAGCACAGCTTGCTAAGCATAGCTTTACTAAGATAGTAAATTATTCCCAATACAATAAAGATTGTATTTTCTGCTTGATTCTTATAGGGCACTGAAGATAAAGCTGTTTATGAAAGCCATCCTTGAAAGTCATGGGGTAGCTGGAGGAGTATTCAGGGAAATAAGTATTCCAATCACATATGGAATGGATTGTTTCATTACACTCATTCCTTTAGTCTTTTTACCTCCTAACATGAGAGAAAATAGCTCTCCTTTATTGCTTCACCTAGAAAGGTAAATTAGGTAAAGCTATACTGAATAAGTGAAAATGAATAAAATTAAAATTAACGTAGCAAAAAAAAAAAAGTTTGTGAAGAGAGGATAAGTGACAAAAGGTAATAGATTATATCCTTGTTAAGGAAACTAAACCCCCAAACCAGATAGAAGCTGACAAGGTGAAAGCTGAGCATCCACCCAGCTCAAGGGTTTAATTTTCATTGTAGTGGTTGCCTACTTAATGATCAAGAAAAACTAGGTTGAAAGGAGCAACTTACTTTTTTAGCCCTGCACAGTGGTTGGTCAGAAACTTCCAGTTCAAGTGTAGAATATGTATAAATTACTTCAAAACTATCTCTTCTCTCCATTTACTTGTCTCCTGAGCTAGAACATAATTACACTAGTGTCCATTGACCTTTAATTCCTAGGTTAGGCTCTTGCCAATAAAACAGCCAAAAGGAAGTACAAAATGGGAAGTAAGCATAGGAACATGTTTTCACAGCATCTAGATAACACCAGCTATTTCATAATGTACATGTAGCTTTGTAGGTGAAAATCCTACCATTTCATCAACATATCTAATGAAGGTAAAATTTGGCGTGCTATCTAGCACTTCAAAGTATGGCTTATTATGATTATAATAGTTGATTTGCAGTTCAAGTATGACTATATAAAAGTAATGAAATAAAAGCATTTTCAACAAACATGCCAGAATGTCCATATTCAGTTGAAAAATAATCTCTTTAGTCACCAAGAGAAACTATATTTCTAATAAAATTGTGACTATTGCTTAAGACATTTTAGTAACATCCTCTTTAAAACCAACTTAAAAATCATTTATGAGAATAATCATTATCTTAATAATTGGAATTTTTATTCTCTAGCAGATTTAATTCTTACCTCCACTTACTTGTAATATAAAAGTTAGTTTATAAATAACAGCAATTATTAAATGAATGATATTAATGATCATTATTTCTAAGATGCTATGTTTTCTAAATATCACAAAATGGTAGGTATGGGGATATATTTAATCCAAAAATATGTTCTAATAATATTTAAAAATAAGGAAACTTCACATAGGAAATATAGAGCCAAGCTTCTCTTGAAAATTAAAACTAAAGGATTTAGCAACACTAAGCAGTTATTCCCTCTTAGTAACCATTAGTGAGAGCTGAACAGAGCTGATCCCTTTAGAAGAGGAAATGCACTTTTTCCTTAACCCCTACTTACACAATACAAACAAAAACACTGACCTCAGTGGATTGGACTTACTGATGTACACCAGTTAGCATACAGGTAAAACTAAGGTGGACAAATCGCCAACGCATCTCATTGCTACATGATTACCTATCCTTGCCTTGTGGAACTCTGACATGACCTTAAGCTTTGTTTTGACCAACAAAATGTAGATGCAAGTGAAATATATCACTTTAGGGCAGAAACTTATGAACTAGCATGGCCTTCACCACATCTGACATCAGCTATGAGGCAATATTCTAGGAAGAGGACATTGACTTGTCTCTGGAGAAAAGAAAACTAGAGCGAGTTCACCATCCATAACAAATGGGCAGCATAAGTGAGAAAAAAAATCTATGTTGTAACTCACTGTGATTTGGGGACCATCTGTTACTACTCTATGTTCTAGCCAGGGGTGTCCAACCTTTTAGCATCTCTGAGCTACACTGAAAGAAGAGTTGTTTTGGGCCACACAATCCCAAAAAGTCTCATAATGTTTTAAGTAACTTCATGATTTTGTGTTGGGCCACATCCATGGCCATCCTGAGCTGCATGCCGCCCACAGGCCACAGGTTGGACACCCCTGTTAGCCTATCCTGACTGCCACACATTTAAATGACCTCCCTGGCCCCTGTAAGCAACTGAGTGTGTGACCCATGCTTTTGCTATAGTTCTCCTCTAATTTTTAGAATGTGAAAAACTGAACCTCAATAAGGTTGAATAATTCATGCAGAGATAATGAAGTCACTTTTTGCATCCAAGTCTGACTCTTTATGCACTTAAATTCTTTACTCTCCTACACCGTAATATGACTAACATGTTTGTGTCATTATTTTTATCTTTTTCAATACTATTAATAAAAAGATTGGCTTTGAAATCTACTGGTTTCTCAAACATCAAAGTAGATAATAAGAAATTTGCTAAAATGTAATGGCCCTTTTTTGACAGCTCTTTCTAGAAATCATATAAAATGCATGTTAATATATAATAATTCAAAAGTCTGGGTTTATTTTATAAACACATTCTGTCTGCAACACTTAAAAATAATTTTAAATCATATTTATTGTTTTCCATATAACTCAGACATTTATCAATATTTAAAAGACCCAAAGGCAAAGTAATAAATTTGGCTTCTTTTCCCCACAAAAATGGGAAATATATCTTGATAAAGAAATTTTTAAATTTTTTTATACACCAGTTAGTTGTTGGAACTTACAGTTCCAGGAAAAAAAGAATTAATCAGCAAAAACAAAACAAAGCAAATCTTTAGTTTATAAAACAGTTTCCAACAATATAATAAGCAGGAAACAAAAACTGATCAGAGAACACCCTGCTTTAAGGTAATTTTCAAACAGATTTCTATTATAGTACAGTTTACTCCAAATAACTCTAAGCCCATTAAGAGCACTTCTATATATACAAAACATAGTAATGATACAGTATTTATGGCAATAACAAATTAAAAGTTGTCATAATATATATAACTTAAATACCCCCCCATTGATAAAGTGGCTTCTTATTCCTTAAACATAAAAATTCTGCTCTTCATTGTAGAAAGATGAAATCTTCTCATCAAAAGGCACAGTCTTATCTGCAAGAAAAATAAAATACTATAAATGCTCATCCTTGCATAAATTTAAACATATTTTAAAATATTCCCAAAGATTTGGCATCACAAGAAGATAATGAAAAGTACTTAATCTAAGAGAATTATAATGAATGACACTGATAAGACAGCTATGACTTTGTCTATATAAATTATATCAGATACTATATTTTACATTACAATTCTAACTTTTTCAAAGGGATTTTATATGTAACTAGTGTGGGTAATTAAAGAATAGTTCATAGTTTTACCAAGTTACACCCTCACATAATATTCACAAATGACTTTATTGACAAGTATACAATATAGTTTTTGTTTATATAATTTCTGTAAATATAATTAACTGTTCGTATTTCTAAATCTTCAGAAACAAGAATTAATTGAAGCTTTGACTTGGTTTCACTATAAAATCAGTGTTCATTGGCTTTCTCAGGAAAACCATCCCCTGGGGAATCACAATATGTATCAAAAAATATTTCCCTTTTCATTCAAGTCTTTTCCCAAGGAAAATACATTGAAGATATTTGACCTGAAGCCTTTCTACTCTCCTTTTGCTGTGGTAGCACAGGGATTCAGGTAATTCTCTATGTCTTAGCAGAAAGAATGTGAAAAAAGCAATGGCTGTAAGTGAATGATAATCTAGTTTCCTAAAGCCCTGAATGCCACGTCAATATTCCTAGGAGGAGTGTGAAAGGGACTCTTAAACACTGATGAATTTACACATCTCCCCACTGTGAAAAGCAAAAGAGAAGGTGAGAGTGAAAGGCACTTATGCCCACTGAGCCGAACAATTTGAGCTACGTCTGCAAACATTGGGGTGAGCAGAGAAGGCTTATCTAAGTTCAGTCTTAACAAAATCATCAGGAAGAAAACAGAAGATATGGTTTATAAATAATAATGGATAGTGACTTATTATACTACAGATCAAATGAAGAAAGTAAGGTCCAGATGAGACACTTTTGACTAAAAGAGATGCAACTTTCTCAGGGTTGAAACTTTGAGGGTGAGCTTCGCCTCTATATAGTAACCATACTGTATTTTTCTTGCATTTTCTTATTAAATTTTCCAAATGCTTCAGAGAAAAGATTCCTCAGGGGATCTCTTTAGGGTAAGATAATAAACAAAAAAATGAAAGTATAAAATAATGAAGTTTTTAACCTCCAATTCCTTGATAAAAATTAGCCAGACAATATTATAAAGTGATGACTTCTACATTCACATTTAATAAAATTACTGAATATGTTGAAAAAAAAAAAAGAATTAATTGAAGCTGCAGGCCTGGAAATATACTCTATGAAACAAAAAATTGCTTCTAATATTTATAACACAGGAACAGAATTCATCCAAACAGAAGATAAGGTCTTCCATAAACATACAATGGGGAAAGTTTGCTTATTTTCTCACTTAAGTGACTAGCTTATGGTAAAAAGAGTTCCTGCTTTTAGCATATGCATTTTTGTAGTCCTTAATTCTAATTATATATCAGGCTTTACTCTTAATCCAAATCACAGCTTCTAAGAAACTTCTGCTAATAAGAGCTGCTACAACCAAAGGCATTCAGTCAAACTAAAAGAATAGCCAAGGGTATGCTAATTTGACTGTTACCTTCCCTTACAATCATCAACATTTAGAACTTCATGGGAGATATGTATGAGAATGAGTAATGTCCTCTTCCAACTTGCTGTTTTATTCAAATCCTTAGTAAGCAATCTATAATAAATCTCTAGATTGTTATAGGATAATAAGATTCTAATATATTTTAATTTGGGGGTAATTTAAGCTTTTTCAAAGAGGTGTTGAAGGTTATTAAAAAACAATGTTAACATGTAGTCTTCATTTCATACAACGCTTTTCCTTTCCTTTTAGACTTTGCTTCTGCTTTGACACCTCTCAACTGAACAACTGAAACAACTTCCAAAGATTGGACCTTAGTTTATTTCTAACTTGAATTCATTTTTACAAGGTCAACAAAATTATTTTCCTAGAAAATAAATTTCATGCTATTACTCCTTAGCTTCAAAGCAGTGGATGACTTGTGACCATTTTCACAAATAGCAAAATCCAAATCCTTAACATGTTGCTTTTTAACATGTTCTTGTTGATTTGGTCCCAAATCTGACAGATTTGCTGTGATCCTTTCACATATCGTGTGTTCTATAGAGGATCACAACATGCACATACTCTTGCCAGGACATTCCCTGACTCATGTTTTCAACTCTGCTTGAAATAAGACTCTTATTTGAATCTCTAGCACATTTTTAAAAATAACTACAACCCAATTATCACTTCCACAGTGAAGTCTCCTATATTTCTATCCCTAACTCAGTTTCTCAGAAATCTCGTATCAGTATGAAAAATGTGGAGCATTTATTAGCATGACACAGGGTAAGAAACCCAAGAATTCCTGATGCTTGGAGTAGATTATATATATGCATGCCTGTGCCTCTTCTCTGGTAGAATCTTCTTTGGAGACAGAGGCAGGAATACACAGTGTAATTTGTGTGGACCTGTTAACAAGAGGCTTCTGGCAGAAGAAGCAGGGATAGAATCTAATGTCCCAAAACCAAGCAGGACTGCAAGTGCTCCCTGTCCTATGGAGAGGACTATATTTCACAGTTTCTAAAACACATATTTCATATTTTAACATCTTTGAATCTGGAATTCATCTCCCAATTGACGGCATCTTAGAATTGCCATCAGACAGGTATTGCTTATATGTGCACAAAATCGACTGAAGCTCTTTGTATTGTTATTTCAAATGAATTGTTAGTATTACAGAGAATGAGTTTAATAATGTTTAAAATGCCTTCAAAATATAATATCATGTATCATCACTGAAGTGAAAGTTATATATGTAGAAAGAAGTGAAAGAAAATATTAGCTATAATTTGATATCAGTATGCAAGTGTTTGTCACTAAAACAGTGGGGTCAATTCCGTATTTTTGCCAAAAAACAACCATTTATTTTAAATGGGGAGATATTTCATGTAGACATGACTCTATTAATTTCTATTCTAAGAGACTATTACACACCAAGAAATGCATTTGACAGCAGAAGAAATGGCCAAATTCTTCAGAGGGGATAAAAAGTGCAGTTGTACTGAGAGGCTTCTGTACATGATTCCTACATTAGATAAAAATATCATTATATTGTTTTGAAATGAAATGGACAGTATTTTTTTTCTTAGTGCTACAGCTTAAAATTAACCTCTTAGATTAAATGACTAATGGTGCAAATCTCCACAGAACTTAGATCAACTTGGAGTGAAAAGAGGGGAAAAAGGAGTGTGGAGAATCTTTAATTAATGATGTTTAAATCTTGAATTGACAATGTTATTTAAGCTGGAAATAACTACTGAAATTGACAAGTTCAAGTCCTTCACCATTAGAATTTAAGATGCAAAAATATTAAGAATGTTACATACTTGCTCAACCACATGCTATGAAAGTGACATGCAGAACCAGTATAAACAAATCTACTTCAAATGTATAGTGACACAAGAAAACAGACAACCTCAACTCTTAATGCCTTGGTGGCCTCCAAATCATGAGAGTTTAATCACTGAAACCTAAAGAGAAGATCGAATGTCAAATGTTCTATGCTCTATCTTAATAATCCTATTTGCCTGGATACCTCTCACTTCTCTGCAAAACTGCTAACGAATTCCTCGGAATTCATGCCGTAATTGTGTTTAGGAACTTCCACCCAAACCCAAATGTTACTCTCTTTCCAGTTACCTAATTTAACCATAGAAAATACTTTGAATGGCCAGGGCTGTCTACTCAACATTTATTCATTCCTTGTGGCTTGCTATTAAAAATTCTTCCTCCCTTCCTCTCTCCCTCCTTCCTTCCTTCCTTTTTTTTGGTAAATAAAGGGCAACAGAAGGGGATGTGAAACTGTTGGGAGGAAGGGGACAGTTCTGAGAAATTTTGATTTCCTGATAAAGAGGTAGACACGGCATGGTTCTTGTCCACCACCATCTTGTTGCTTGAAACAAAGATGTGATAGGTGAAACTACAGCTGCCATATAAACCAGGATAAGACAAGCATGAGAAAATGTTTGAGAAAATTCTATAGATGTAGACCCTGCCATCAAATAGCCATTGAATTGATGCCAGGAGCTACTATTGCAGACTTTTTATAACATGGGAAAAATGTTTGAGTCTTTGTAATTCCAGGTTCTCTGTTACCAGTAGTAAAAATGAGTCAAGCTTATAGAAGCACAGAGTAGACTGGTGGTTGAAGGAGCTGAGCGGAGAGGGAAACAGGGAGTTGCTATCCAGCTGTTACAAAGTCACAGTTAATGCAAGATGAATAAATCCTTGAGATCTGTTGTACAACATTGTGCCTATCGTTAACAATACTAAAAATTTAAGGGAGTATCACGCTTTCTATGAGGTAAAGCAAGTGTGTAGTATTAATATATTTTATAGAAATCTAAGTTTGAGTATTTTACAAGCTTCAAGAATGCTCTGTTTCTATACAATCCACAATGATACAATAATTTTAAAAAGACATTTTTTTGAAGAAAACTAAAAAGCCAACTTGGGAATCTAAAACTATCAAAATGGTTATAAATTCAAATCAAATTTGAAAGGAAACACTGTCCTAGTGCAATTAAGAGCATTGTGTTTTGTTGTTCTTGTTCATTTAAATAAATTTGCAAATACTAAATTCCTGGGTTTTTTTTCTCTTTCCAGGTCTTCTTGAAGTAGATATAATGTCTGTGCATTTTTGAGAATGAACACTATCTCAGAGCCCTGGGAAAGGTTAATGCTTTAATAGCTGTGTTTAGGGCTTTTCTTGCCCATAAAATTGAGGTCCTGGTTCCTGTGTTGTCTTAACCCCACTCGCATAAATCAGCCTTTGAGGCGCTGACGCTCTGCCACCCATGTCCACTGCTCCACTATATTCCTTAGAGAGTCTGCAACCCCAACACTCCCAGCAGAATATAAATCCTGAATCAAAGTAGCAAGCATTT